CACTCACACACTCTCACTCACGCACACACACACTCTCACTCACGCACGCACTCACTCACTCTCACTCACGCGCACACACACTCACTCTCACACACGCACACACACGCACTCACAAGCACTCTCACTCTCACACACACACACACTCACTCTCTCTCTCTCACACGCACACTCACTCTCTCTCACACACGCACACACACGCACTCACAAGCACTCGCACTCACACACACACTCACACTCACGCACACACTCACTCTCACTCACGCACACACACACACTCTCACTCACGCACACACATACTCACTCTCACTCACTCACATACTCACTCTCACTCACTCACGCACACGCACACACATACTCACTCACACTCTCTCACACACGCACACACACGCACTCACAAGCACTCTCACTCACTCACGCACACACACACTCACTCTCACACACGCGCACTCACAAGCACTCTCACTCTCACACACACACACACACACACACACACTCACTCTCTCTCTCTCACACGCACACTCACTCACGCACGCACACTCACTCACACTCTCTCGCACTCACACACACTCTCACTCACGCACACTCACTCACTCACTCACACGCTCTCTCTCACGCACACACTCTCTCACTCACGCACACACTCACTCACGCACACACACACTCACTCTCACTCACGCACACACACACTCTCACTCACACACTCTCTCTCACTCACTCACTCACGCACACACATACTCACTCTCACTCACTCACACACACACACACTCTCACTCACGCACTCACACACTCTCACTCACGCACTCACACACTCTCACTCACGCACTCACACACTCTCACTCACGCACTCACACACTCTCACTCACGCACTCACACACTCTCACTCACGCACTCACACACTCTCACTCACGCACTCACACACTCTCACTCACGCACTCACACACTCTCACTCACGCACTCACACACTCTCACTCACGCACTCACACACTCTCACTCACGCACTCACACACTCTCACTCACGCACTCACACACTCTCACTCACGCACTCACACACTCTCACTCACGCACTCACACACTCTCACTCACGCACTCACACACTCTCACTCACGCACTCACACACTCTCACTCACGCACTCACACACTCTCACTCACGCACTCACACACTCTCACTCACGCACTCACACACTCTCACTCACGCACTCACACACTCTCACTCACGCACTCACACACTCTCACTCACGCACTCACACACTCTCACTCACGCACTCACACACTCTCACTCACGCACTCACACACTCTCACTCACGCACACACACACTCACTCTCTCTCTCTCTCTCTCACACACACACTCTCACTCACGCACACTCACTCACTCACTCGCTCTCTCTCTCTCGCACTCACACAGACTCTCTCTCTCTCACACTCACTCACTCGCTCACTCACTCACACACTCTCTCTCTCACACTCACTCACACACACACACACACACACACAATCTCTCATGTGTGATTTTTACAGTGGGGTCACATGTTGGCTTATACATGCTACCTCTCTCCATCTGTTCAGCAGTGATGTTGAGGCCATCCATCTCATGAACACTTGACAATAACTGTGGAACACACACTATTTATTCACTCACACACTTATTTATCTAACACACACACTCAGTCTACATTTCAATTTGCACATAATATACCTGTACATACAACTGTCTATTGTTATATACCTGTACATACAATTGTCGATTTGTATATTTTTGATTCCTTATTTTACTTGTTCTATTTTTTTTTTTATTATCTGTTTTTTGTTCTGTCACTGTCATTCTGTTACACTGTGGAGCTTCTGTCATGAAAACAAATTCCTCGTATGTGTAAACATACCTGGCAATAAAGCTCATTCTGATTCTGATAGTGTATAAATGCATAGTGTGACATTTGGGACGCAGCTTATGACATAAGTGTGAACCTGTGATGAATCAAACGTCAAATAAAGCTAAATTACAGGGAAGTAGTCATCAGGTGCATGTTCACTACATGGATTTCTCGAATCGATAAGTTTTCACTCCACCACTTGCACGTGACGTCATTAACGACAGTCCTATAGACCTTATGCGTCAGAGAAACAACTGCGCAGCCATCTCCAGAACTTCTGTTTTTGCAGTAGAGCATCGCTGTTGAAGAGTAATTAGCTGGTTAAGTGGATGTGCAATCATGTTAGTAGTTTTGGGAAACAGGGCGTTGCTTGTACAGGAAACCCACCGCTGGACAGTTTAGGTCAGGGCTCTCCGACCCTGCTCCTGTAGAGCTCCAGCATGATCAAATGACCCTGAACACCTGGATTAGCTGATTCAGGTGTGTTGAATAAGGAAGACCAGAGCAGTGGAGCCCCAGGACTGGAATAGAGAACCAGCGCTCCTGAACATCAGCTGAACACCTGAGCAAATAATCAATCCTCTCCAATCCACTCTCTCTGCTCAGACAGATGCTAAAGATCAACAGTTTAGTTAGTAGTTTTGTCTCACTAGAAAAAAAGCCAATGAAACTGGAAATCTGCAGGTAGCTGGTCTGGTTCATAGAAAAGTTCAACAGCTGCTTTAAAGGGTTTTTGACCTTTTTAATTTTTTTTTTTTCCATTATTAAAGAGAAAATGCTACAAATTACAAATCACACTAAAAGCAATCACATCTGCCTATAATTCAGATCAAGTGTTATGATACAAGATTTCAAGTATTTTACAAATCGCTTTGTTCCTCTCTCAATAAGCCGAATATATATGTGCGTCAGGGTAATAAAGTATTGTTTCAATAAACGCAGACAGTTATTTCTATGGCTTGATGAATGATTTTGTCTGCTCCCCATCCTCTGAAGACGCACCAGCATGAATTAATACGGACGAGAGGCTTTTCCACAGCGTTTAGTTGAATAAAAGGTTTTTAATTACATCAGTGATCACAAGATTTTCCTTATCTGGATTTGACCACAGCTACTCTGAATGAAGACGCCTCCCGAGGGAAAGCAGGAGAAGGGAACTGCTAAATGTGTCGAAATAAAATTTAAATCCGAATATTACCAGAGAGAGAGATGGACTGAAACCAAAACATCTGAGCAAACCAACAGGTAGATGTTCATACGGCAGCCAAACTCCTTAAATTAGGTCAGCGACTGGAATATTGCTAATGATCCAAATGCAGTCAGCAAAGTTTTCAGATACATCACTTATTAATCCTCAGAAGGTGTGTTTCTTCACATGATTCCAGTTGATACCCTGAGGTCAGTTTCCCTTTAGTCAGACCGTCCTGCTGTTTTAGCATGAAGAAAATCAAGAGGTGATACTAAAACATCCCCGAAATAATAGCGCAGAAACTCTGTGAGCATAAAAAAAGATGCACACGTAAGGCAAATATATCTCTATGAACAATAAATGACACGTACAGCCAGGTGGTGTAATGTCTCTTCATTTCTTGAATTCATATGTACACTAGGATTAACACTCTGGTAATGATTCCCATTCGGCCGGGACACACTCGCACTAGATCTGGGAAATCTGCCGGTGAACGAGGGACAGGTTAGCGGCGCCGGGAGTCTCCGATGTGCTGAGGAATGACTGGTCTGTGAACTGACCGCAGGTGGCTGAAGCTAAAAGAGTCTTCTGTAACAGACCGAAGAAAACGAGAGGATCTGGCAAGCGTCACAGTGAAGCCCAAGCTTACGGTGCGACCCCAGGTAACATACAATCATCTCGCTCAAACAACTGCAGATCTATAGCATCCGCATGATTTTCTGAGTACCTACTCTAGTCAAGAGCAACACAATCCTTACGCTCTACAAGAAAAAAAGAACAAGATCAGGCGTCGTTCAGCCAAATAAAACAGTGAGGATATAAAGCAGAAAGATTCAACAAAAGCCTTTTTGTACCCCAGAGATACAAGAGGAATAAAACTTCAAAGTCTTTAATAAAACAAAGAATGGAAGAATATCTCATGCCCTCTGCTGTCCATTTGTGACGCACAGATGCTGTGAACGAGGAGGAGGAGGTGGAAGAGCCTTGATTTGACGATCGTGAGCCGTTGTGTCATGCTTGTGCGGTCGGTCTGACCCCTGATGGACGGGTCAGGCGCTCATTTGGGCGGCTTGGCGTCCTGCGCAGCTGCTCGCTGGCTCGGGGGTTTGGCATCATCTCTGGTGGGAGGAGCTCCAGCAGAAGGGGCGGAGCCTGAAGCGCCCTGTGTCTGGGTTCGGCTAGACTGCTGGGAAGGATGACGGCGACGGCCATCGCCGCTGGAAGGGTGTCTCTTACGCCCGCCGTCCTCCATGGGTGGCTAAAGGGCAGAAATAATGCAGCGTTAATAAAACACGTCTTACGATCCAGACACAAAACACCATTAACATCGGGATTGAGCTGTGCTTTCGAGTGAAACTGCACTGCAGTTGGCTCTGACACAAACAGCAGCTGGCCAGGGTTTGTTTTTAATCACCGAAGTGTCTCTATGTGACATGGAGTGTCAGCCGATATAACAGTGCATTATTACAAGAGTGCAAATGTGCATTACACAAGAAGCCATGTTGATCTCAAGCCTGCAAACGGCAAATGAGAAATGCACTTGCACTCACATCCACCCTGAAGTCCTCCAGACGCTTGAACTTGCTTAAATGCTCCTGCAGCTTGGGGTCAATCTCCATGTTCTTTGTTTTAGAGTATTTCAGAAAGGCCCAAAACTTCTCGAGTCCGTACAGCTGGCCTGTCAGGGCAAATGAAGGAGAATTACACAAGAGCTCCGCTAACTAGACATCATCTATTTCAGGTACATCTGCTGGCAGACTCAGACAGACCTGCTTCATAGTCTTTAATGGTCTCCTCTTGAAAGTCTTTAAATATGTCTGGTCTGAACTTCCTCTCGAGTCCATAGCTGTAAAACCTGAAGAGACACTCCAGACCGTACCTGAGGAACAGCACACAGCGCCGTCAGTTCAGAACACTTATTATTTAAAAACAAAAGACCACACTAAAAATGCAATGCATGCGGACTATGACTGTCAAAAACGGTGGTAGGCAGAATTTAGAAAATATAAAAAAAATTATTCAGGCTTTTGATTATAAAAACAGATCTAGCTGCAGGCAGCGATTACTGGGGTTCAAGCACTTAAAGGCATTCAAGCACACGCGAAAAAAAGCCATTACGTATTTAGAAACTAAATCAATGATTAAAAAGAGCCTTTCTGGCAATTCCAGGTAATTTACCATAGACATAGGATGTTTTTAAAGATTTATGGCTGTTATAGCGCCACCTATAGTGCGATTGGCATAAAAGTTGGTATGATCTTTTAGAATAATATGCAGCATGTGCTCACCTAATTTCGTGAAGTTCTGAGTTTTCGTTCAAGAATTTTAGAGTTTTGGATATATTTGGCCAAGCACATTTGCTAAATGACCCTGTCATAGCTATCCAAAGTGTAAAGTTCAACATTTTTGGATAATCATTGACCTAGAGAATCCAGAGAATTGTACTGCAGTGGTTTTGTTGGGGTTGAGCAAAAAACCTAGAACTAGTTCGCTAAAGTAGTTTTTTTTAAATAATCTTGAACAATTAAACGATTTGGCCCACTGAGATTCGTTCTGATCAGCCTCCGTTAACCCCGTCTAATAGGTGTTCAAACTTAATTTGCCATGTTTCTGGAGATACACGAATGTAGAGAGCCATGGCACTTTCGACACAGACACTGCATGTGAATTGTCAAGTCAGTCAAGACTAACAAGTGCGTAGTTATAGACATTTTTAGGTTTTTGTCCTATTATAGCACCACACAGAGGTCAGAACTAAGATTGAGGTCTTACATACACGCATCAAGTTTGATGTAAATGTCTTTTTTTCAAACGTTTTTTGATAATTATTGATATTCACTCTCCAGAGGATTATTCTGCACTGGTTTGGTTCCAACTGGGCGAAAAATGTAGGACTACATATTGGCCAAAATAGCCGAAAATGTCATCTTGAGCCAAGGGTTCCCATAGTCTGAGTAGATAGTATGAGCGATTACATACTTACAATAAAACAATACTCATCTAGAGCGATTAAGTTGATCAAATTTATTTTCTATAAATTGCTCCTTGTAAACAGAAGTGTCGATTTCAATGGGAATTAAACTGCCACACAACCTTGTGCTCCGTATAAAAATAATAGGTAAATCTGGCCCGGATTTCTCTCAAAACGCCAACATTTTCAATTAAAATCACAGATTACCGCCTGCCAGCACTGAAACGACAATAGTTTTTTTTTTTTTTTTAAAGCCTCAGTTTTTCTGTAGAGTAACGTAAAGGCGGTCAATAAACGCTGATTATTTTCATACCTGTAGCCTTCCTTCCCGTCCTCCACCACCAGCTGTCTGAATTCCTCGTACATCTTTCTGTTGAAGTGATCTCTCAAGAAGAAGGACCAGAAGCGGAAGAGCGTGTTCATCTCCTGAGACTGGCCGATGCCGAGCCGCTTGCGCTCTGCAGGAGCGACAGAGAGAAGTGAGCGCGAGGCTTTGAGGAGGAGACGCTCCAGCGGAGGAGTGTAACTCACCGTTGAGGCAGCGCCGCCGGTACTTGTGATAAACGTGCTGCGTGAATCCGTTCTCCTTCAGTAACTCGTGCGACGGATGCTGGAACTTCGGGAGAGACTGAGGAGTGCAGCCGTAATTACCCATCGCTGCGGTGCCTTCAGACGGACTCGCATTCGAGCTGCAGAGGAAAGACAAAACAATTCGTGATCAACACGGATTTGAAGGGGGAAAAAAGCTCAGTTATCTATCTATTGTTTTTATTATAATTTACATTACTATTATTGAATTCATTACAAATGCATAATTATAAATCCATGAACACGTTGGAATGCAGACCTAAGGTTGGTCTCTTTTTAAAGAGGACAATCAGCATTGCTAATTTTTGCTTAAAATTAAAGTGTAGACATTACATAAGTTTAATATAAAGGAAAATGTACTGTGAAAATATTTTTATAGCAAATAAATATTTTAGAAGATAGTTTGGAATCTAAAATTGTTATAAACCCAAAGCCATATGTCTAACTGAGCTATGTTCCACATTTGAAGTTGATATCACGAAGTTCCTGTGAGATTTTAAGCGCTATACCGAAAACAGCCACCGGGTGACACCAAAACTCCTTTGAATTTTATTGATGCATTTTCCGTCACAAATGTATACCTTTTTGTCACAATATTACTCCCATCTCAAAATAACCACCAAATATGGAACCTTGAGAATCAAATCTAACAATGGGTTCTGTCAATATTAGAAAAAGTTTTGATTATAAAATATTGTAGTAAATGTTGAAATATGACACCGCCCACTAGGGGGAGGAGCCTGATAAAAGGATATAAAGTACCATTTCCATGGTAACGCAATGCCCTAAACAGTTTTTACAGGATGAGTTGAGTGTTTAAGTTTTTTAATGATATCTAATTTAGATCATTTCTAAAATATGATAAAGAAAAAGCCAATAAAATAAGAGTTAACAGGTTAAATATTGTGTAAATTAAGTGATTTTGACTTATTTTTTTAAAGTTTAAAAAAAAAGTTTTTTAGTATTTGATATCAATTGTGCATACACGCATTTCTTAAGTGTGACTACTGATATGATTTTCAATGCACGAGTTGAAGCAGATCACATCATCACATGCTCCTCCTTCAGCCCTCCGTTTAAGCCTCTATCAGGCGCTGCGGTGTTTGCTGACCTGACGGAGGCGGTGCGTGAGCGGTGCTCTCTGGAGTCCATCACCCAGCCCACGTGACACTCCATGGGCGGATTGGAGCTGTGCCGCGTCTTTCGCTTGCGAGGCGTCTGAAAGAAGAAATCAGTAAATGCACTGACATACATGTGCATGCTTCCAGTCTAAAACAGCCGATACGTACTTTAGCATCCAGCGGCCGTCCCTCCTTCACCACGGGGTAGAAGCGGGGTGTCTGCGTGGGGTCCTTGAGCCGTGGCGTGCGGGGCGTGCGAGGCGTGCGGTAGCTGGGAGAGTCAGGCACTGTAGTAGGAAGAGAGCGGGCGATAGCCGACGGCTCAGGTGCTCCGAACAGCTTGTTGGCCAAGGCTTCTGTGGGGACTACAGGAGAAAAAACATTCATGCTTTAAACCGACTGAGCAAATCCAGTAAGACAGGTCGGTTATGTTAACTCTATTACAGTATTTTCCCTGAGATCATCATGCAAAGCATCTCCACGTCCCAAAGTTAACTTACAAACTAGAGCTCAGCACTACAGCAAAAAAAAAAAATTTGTATCCCAATTTTGTCAGATTGTTTGACTGATTTTAATTTCTATTTTTAAATGTTTAATTATCGGCAGCACGATTCAAGTAACATTTTATTAACCATCTGGTTAAAGTTTTATTCCAAGTGCAGCACATGTGAAGTGCTCAACAGCGGAAACGTCAAATTAATTCACTTCTTAAATATCTTAGCAGAAAATATGAAGGCAAATATTGTGCAAACACATCCTATATGTTTAAAAACAACGCAAAAATGCTACATATTTCTTACAGTATTTCCCCTGAGATCATCATGCAAAGCATCTCCACGTCCCAAAGTTAACTTACAAACTAGAGCTCAGCACTACAGCAAAAAAATTTTTTCACAGACGACAACGAGACGATAAACAAACTCTTTTTGAATGACAAAAACTATGACGTAAATCTATTGCTCTATTACAGTATTTTCCCTGAGATCATCATGCAAAGCATCTCCACGTCCCAAAGTTAACTTACAAACTAGAGCTCAGCACTACAGCAAAAAAAAAAAATTTGTATCCCAATTTTGTCAGATTGTTTGACTGATTTTAATTTCTATTTTTAAATGTTTAATTATCGGCAGCACGATTCAAGTAACATTTTATTAACCATCTGGTTAAAGTTTTATTCCAAGTGCAGCACATGTGAAGTGCTCAACAGCGGAAACGTCAAATTAATTCACTTCTTAAATATCTTAGCAGAAAATATGAAGGCAAATATTGTGCAAACACATCCTATATGTTTAAAAACAACGCAAAAATGCTACATATTTCTTAGCCAATGTAGACATTTAGTTTTAAAAAGGCAATTCAAACTCAAAATGACTGACAGTGTAGCAGCGATTATTAAGAGTGAATGAAAACAGCAGCAGCTTTCAGTCAGTCAGCATCATGCAGACATCAAATATCAGACATACAGTAGTAGTTCAGCACAGGCTTTAGTCCAGTATTAATATCGTTGACAAATAATTTGTCCATTTTTGTCAACGACATTTTTTTCACAGACGACAACGAGACGATAAACTAAAACTCTTTTTGAATGACAAAAACTATGACGTAAATCTATTGACATTTTAGTCAACGAATAAAAACCAGACGAAAATGTTAGGGAGGGACGATTTTGGAAGAGATTCATGCAGAACGAATCTGCTGCGTGGTTCGGAGGTTAGATGCGTACATATGAACCGGCGGGACATAAGCTAACATACACTTGCATAAAACTTTCAAAAATGTCAATATGTGGGAGTAAGAGAAGAGCAGACATATGGATAAATCTGACGACGCAAGAG